GCTGACTTCGAGCGTGGCTTACAAGAGACGGGACATATTGGAAAAACGCGAGTAATAATCCCTTGGATTCTCGCATATCATTCAGGCGCGAATAAATTCTGATCTACCTAAATAAGCTAAATATTATTAATGGAATTTCTCTTCAATGGGATTTCTCTCTGTTGGAAGGAAAGTAATTTTATAATTTTTCTTATATACAGGTGAACAAAGTTTGAATATAGTAACGGGCATAATGTTCTCATTTGAATTACGTTGCCAACAAAAAGTTTGAGATCGTATAAAATTTATAAATTCTAGGAAACGCTACTGAAAAGTTCGTTTCATATTTTATTCAATAATTCTCTTAATTTGAAAGTAAATTAGGCATAATATATATTTAGCGTAGTTGTTGATTAATATAACATTGTTTAATTTCTGAAAAATGAGCTACGATTATAAACTTTTTTTCAAAATTGAGTTATGAAGTACCTTAGAAGATGGATAAAAGAAAAATTTTTTCTTCCATCAGAAAAAAAATAAATTTGTAGTTAGATTCTCTAAATTAGTAAAAAATTATTAAATGTAAGGCTATTTTAATAAAAAATATCTATCTAAAATTAAAATAGTATATCTATTTTTTTAGTGCTTTCCTTGTAAAAAAATTTTGTGAAAAGTATTTTCTGTAGAATTTTCAAACACTTCGTATACTCTCACTTCATATATTTTTTATCTCATTATAAAATAATGAATAAAATGATAAAAATGTATTAAATTCTAATATTATAAATTATAAATTTTATTTTATTTCACATTTTTAGTTTCCAAATTTTGACTGGCAGTATATTCCGAGGCAGCCCAATGTAATATAAAATAAATATTTTAACGAGTGTACTGTCATTTTGTCCTACTAGTCGAGTCGATAAATCTGATGCCGCTTGAACGCGACGACCGATCAATCGCACGTGACGGTGTCACGTCTGGACTCGGGCGCGAATGAAACCACCCGGCAACCGCGTGCATAATCACTGCTGAAAGGCACGAAGCCTCCGCTGTGAAATGCAATTCGATCATTTTCTATAAATAGGAATCGATCTACACAAAACCACCGTGCTCTGACCAACATTTCTCTTTTTTACCGCAGGTCATTAATCGCAATTCCTTTTATGCGCAATCTCACGGCGTCACACACAGTAGTATCTTCTTCCTCGTTTTTACAAGAGTTTGTGCTTTCGGTATAGGCCGCGGCACGGCCGTTGCCTATCGGCCGATCGTGGCTTCGTGAGTTTCCGCCGATGCCGCTATTCGATTTCGTATTCAGGAAACGTCGTTTCCTCCGACCGCGAAAAAAAAAACGTGTCATCGCCCCGCGAGAGCGACGTGAAACTTCGACTGGTGAAAATGTCAGGAAAAGTCGTTTATCCGGAGCAAACAAAATTCGATATTTACGGGATAAGGTCAACTTTTATTCGTTTGTTTCCTCTCGCACTCTTGATTGACATCGTAAACCAGAATGGCTTATCACGAAAATTTCACGGATATCGAACTTGAAAGTTTCGGAATTCGACTCTGAAGTATGTGTTAAATAAATACTGCATTTAAATGTCCGCGATCGAAAAGTTTCCTGCATTTTCTTCGCGCAATGCAAAATTGATTTTGATGGATATATATTAGGTAAAAAGTCAGATCGTAAAAAGTTAGACGCTTGCGCGGCGTTCATGTCGACCACAATTAATGAAAATTAAAGAGTTGCGAAAAAAGTGTCGTCCAATCGGATTTTCGCTAAGGAGAGATCGGCTCTAAATATGTACGTCAAAGAGCCACCGACTCTTCGAGGGGGGAGAAGAACTTTCTCGCCTTCTGCGCGCGTTGCAGGAATCAGAGCTTGCAAACTCGCGGCGCTCTCGAGTACGAAGGTCGTTTCGTTGACCCACTGATTCGTCCCACTTGTCTCACCCGTGGCCCACAACGTGTGCGTAAGCTTTTTGCAATTTTGTAAGATGCCTCGCAAAAAAATTGTCCGAAGAATAAAACGATGGAGGCGCTTCCACGTTTTTTACGAAACAATTTATTCTGAAATTTTTTGAAAAGAATGAATTATACGCACGTATTGCCTTTTTTAGTTACGCATCTTTTTTTATGCATCTTACGAGATCAAAGATAAATAATCAAGTGGACTTGCTATTTTATTTATAATATGTTTGTAAATAAAAATTTAAATGAAAATACATTAAATTTTTGAAAAAGAGAGAGAGAGAGAAAGTTAATATATATATTAAAATAAAATATTCATTGCGCTAATTATTTAAGATTTAAATTTTATTCTGCAAATCAAAATCACAGCATTAGAAAAAAGTAATCAGTTTATCTGATAAACAATCTAATTTGACAAAGATTCTTCGTTATTATTGTAGTATGTAAACGAAGAATGGGGAGGAAAAAAATAAGACATATAAGAAGCGGATAAGGAATACAGAATCCACTTTTAAGCTGCGAGAAAGATTCACCGATTGGATTGATAAAGTTTAAATGGTCGACGCACTCCGAATTGAGTAACGAGTTCATCATCGGAAGGTCAGAGATTTAATTTAGCCAATCGTCAACATATTGATATTTATCCTCTGATGCTGCCGGTGTTATCTTCGCGATTGCGTGTATCACGTGCGTCAAATACGACGATCGAGCGATGTGTGTGTTCCCAAGTGAGCGAACGAGGGAGAAAAAGCGCTTCTTATTGATACTCTCGCGGAATGAGCTTCACGCAGTTCGTAAGGTGTGGGCTGCACTGCGCGATCAAAACAACGCTATTTGTCTAACAATATAAGTCGGGATTGCGTCGTGGAATTTCGAATTTTTCCGGCGGCAACAGATTGGCGATCAACAGTTTGATAATCGAGGAGAATGAATGTGACATTTGAAAAAATATCGTGTTTTTTTCGAGAGGCACATTAAAATGTCACTCTGCATGCCTTGTAAACTTTCCGAAATTTATAAAAATAACTTTCACGTCATCTTTCTTTATTTATTTATTATTTATTTATTTATTTACGCTTCTTTGTAATAATTCCGTAATTAAAAAATGCGGCAAACATGGATATTAATCTCTAATGGACAAAAAGACTTTCACACATTTCGTAAATAGGTATTAATTAGAAGCTGTAATACGTTTATTAATATTATAAGTGAAAAAAACAGATTTAAGCTCTCGTTAAAGCTTTAGATTTATAATACATTACTTTAACACGTCCTTTTTTTTCTAAGATAGGTCAAAGTATCCCCAACAGAATCTGCGTTAATCGCTTCTGCTAATTCCTATATTTCTAATCCACATCAAAAAGTTTATTGAAAAATAATAAATATTATCTCTCACTTATAATATATATCATCTTAGAAATATCAACTGGAAATCGCAATGATTTATGTTATTCCCAATATTTTCCCAATTCCCATGATTTACTTTTCTTTTTAAATCACTTTTCTTTTTAAATGGAAAAGACACATGAAAGGATGTATTATAGGTATATCCTTATCGAAAGAATCTTTCCCTTCGAATGTCCCCGGATATCTTCTCCGGGCACGCAATCCAAACAGGAACATTGTGTCATACGTTTCCTCGAAGTCGTGAGCAACCGGTTTCTTCTGGGAAGTGCGACACTCGAAGGGCAATCAGCAGGGAAAAATGTGGAAACTAGGAAAAGGATCTGGATGGGCTGGTCAAAAATTCGGTGCACCGCCGCCACCGGTTTTTAGCTCTTTCAATCTCTCCGCCGCCGCGCCGTCGCGAAACCGGTTTCCGTCATTTCCACCACCGCCTACTTGTTCCTCCCTCCCTCCCTCCTCGAATATAAGAGGGGAAAAAAAAGTAAAAACGTAACCCATTACACCGTGATGACAATGGTCAGCTAGTTGCGCCGGGGTATATTCAAGGTGACGTGTAAAAGAGACGGGCCCGGGATTGACCTTGGTTCCGTTGAAACGGTTCTTTCCAAAATTTCCAAACAAACGGATAAACAGGTGGGATCCCGGCGCGAAATGACCCTATGTGTTCATATAATGGCAATAAAAAAGGAACGGGATTATTATCGCACTCGGTCCGTGTGACTTTTAGCACGAATTAGCACGAAGAGGACGCCGAAATCATCGGAGTCCGAGACTCGAATTAAAAAGAAACTCAGGCTGTCACTGCCGTTCTACCGCTTCTCACTAGCAAATCAAATCCGAGAAGATCGGCACGTTCGAAGGATTCACATTCGCGCGACTCGTGTGGGATACATTGAGATACATATTAGTGCTTCATTTCACGTTCAGTCATTCGATCGGACAAAAGATTTTTAAATCTTCTTTTTGTCTTTCATATTAGCGGGACTCTTTCTAATGTCGACTACTTCAGAGTCTATCACAAGATCTTGCATTGTATTTCCTTTCTAACTTTCGCTTGCAGCAAAGCGGAATATTAGGGAAATATAAGAGGAGGAATCGGGAAGTCATCGTTTCACGAAGCAGGACATTGCTGGGATTAATGTGTGTGAGTTGCCCGCAAGAAAAGGAGAAAGCAAAGTGAGAGAGAGAATAATATTTTTAGCAGGCTTAAAATCCTAGACAAAATTGAGACGTGTGAGTCCCGATTACGTCTATACAGCTACGGTACTTTAGCATAAGTGTGACTGCTGATGTGATTAACGGGACATACAGAGGATCCAAAAAGAATGGGGCCTCCGACCGAGTCCTTCGTTCACATTAAAAATCAAAGGATATTTATATCTCCACAGTGTGTCGTCACGATATTCTTTATATACGATACGTAACGACGAGATGTGCCAGATAGAAAAACGGCGATCCGCCGTTCAGTTACTCGAATTATTTTCGAGGTAAGTGCTCGGAAGCGATCAACTGACAGGCATTTTTTTCGAAATAAATAGGCTCCTCGGCAAAAGCGGGTTTCCTTCGGCAGCAACGGAGAGGCGTCGATCGCGGCTCCGATTTAAAGTTTAAAGAGCCCCGGGACACACGCGGAGGGTACTCACCTGTTCTGATGGCCACGACGTCGGCGACGCCGAGGAGGACGGCGAACGCCGCCGCCGCGACGACGAGCGTACTCCTGGCGGTCCATCGCACGACGGGTATCCCGGTGAGGTTCCCGGCACTTCCGGAAGCGCGTTCACCACCGGAAGGGCCGATGCGTGGCCGCACAGCCATCGCACGCCGTTGTCTCTCTTTCTCTCTCTCTCTCTCCCCTTTTTTCGTTTTTTTTCTTTTTTTTGTCTTATCTGCTTCTCTCTATCCCTCGCTCTCTTTCACCCGCGTTCCTCCAAAGAGGGAGAGAGAGAAGGAGAGAAAGAGAGAGGAGTCACAGAGGCACGCACTTTGCACGCAAATATTATTATGTTAGTATCGCGTATCCTCCAGGCCTCCGCACACTTTCCGTCAGATTTTCCCCCGAGTGAAGAGCTCCGATATTCGTTTTCTGCGCGTTTTCAGTGCGAAGTGTAAAATAAAAAAAACGGGGGTGCGCGCAACGGAATAAATTAAAAAAAAAAGTAAAACGACGACGCGGCACGAGCGAACGCGAGCTCAATTCATGGCTCGTGCGTGCGACGTACACACGGTCGCAATCATCGGGCGACTGACGCGGCGCGCCGCGCCGCGGACGGACCCAACATGGCGCCGTTTCATCCCCTCCCCGATGTCTAATCACCGCGACGGGACGGGGAGTGGGGAGGGCCCGTCGCCGAGTTTGGTAGAGGAGAACACGCGCGAGACTCGCTCCGATTTCAAATTCACGCGATATCAACAGCCGCTTCTGAGACAAGGGGCATAGAGTTGATTTTAATTTTAGTAGAATTAGTTAACCTAGTAAAAAATTTATTTCATATTAATAAATTTTAATTTTAGACAAGAAATGTCTTTCTTTAATTTGAGTCGAAACTCTTCTTCCGTTTTAAATTAAAATCTATTAAAATTAAGAGACTACCCAAACACTTTATCCAAGAGTCCTAGAAATGTTCTTAGAACATAAGATGTCTTCTGAATGTCTTTAAAATGTCCCTTGAAGATGTTTGCTGTACGGAAAAACTTGAGGGAAATAAATGAAACGAGAGAAGTTTTTTATCTCGAATTAAAATTTATTTTAATTAATTCTTTAATAGATTGATTAATGTAGCAAATTTAATTCTACGCTCTTCTTCCTAGAAACAATCATCAAGGTCTCACGAATTTTACAATGATATAATATTTTGTATTATATTATAGCACGCCGCCGCACACACGAACGCTGGTATTTGAATTGGGATTACTCCAAATTATTATTATGAAATTTAAACATTAAGAGTTTTTCAAATGTGTATGTTTAAAGCTACAAATTTAAAAAGAGCTACGTTCCTTTTTTGAATTATTTAAATCTGCTGCAACAAAGTAAAAATAATATTTATTATTACATTATTACTAATAATAATTGTTTGCTCTGCTAGTATTAAGTTGATAACTTTGTGTTTTCTCTATAGATTTATTTTTAATCGAGTATTGCCAAGTCAAATGTTAATATCTGACCGTCTTACGCTAAAATAATTATAGCGTGTGTTATGCGTACAAACGTGCGTTTTACGATATTCATATCACGTTTCTTGCTTATCATCAATTTTAACAATGACACGTACCATTGATACACTAGCGATATTCAGTGCATTGTCAGCATATTGTGATTAAATAAAATAAAACAGTTAGTTTTCTTTATAAACAATGATATCTGTTAAAAAATTGACAAAAAATGATTGAATATTAAGAATATCAACTTACAATAAAATTCTGATTTTGTTGTAAATATTTTATAGTCTGCTTTATATTTAGAATATTAGATAAAGCATAAATAATTGAATAAAGAATAGTAGATATAATTTTTTAAATAAAATTAAAAATGAGATTTTAAGTAAAATTTATATTTCGAAATCCAGTTATTGATCATGACGTTAAATATAAAAATATACGTTTAAGCGATGCAAGCTATCATTGTATAATAAATAAATAGGATAAAAAATAAGAAAATTATTCAGAAAACATTAGCGATTGACTATTGAGTTTTGTCTTGAAAATTTAATCAACTGGAAAATTGTGAACAAGTGCATGATTTCAAGCGTGCGAAACGAAAGTCGGAAGGGTCGCGCGGCTTTTCATGGGCTCAGTCCCCTAATTCAAGCGACGCGTTTTATGCGATTATACGCTAAAGGAGAGAACGATTTCCGTGGAAACTTTCTCACGAGGACGGCAAAACGCGCGGCGCGCACAGTTTCTTTATTTACGATAAAAAAATTTTACATATAGCTACCGCTGAAGTCTAAACATCACAGTTATTTAATATAAAAAATTATTTGTATACTGTTTTCAATTTCATTTCTTTATTCTTTATTTAAATCGATGTAATAACTTTATTTAACTCTAGACTGTATGACAATTGACTAATGTGAATATGACGCAGTTAGTAAAATGTATATTGGTCAATTACATAAATCTCAAAGTAGAAGATTGTCTCCAAGAACTAATTTTTAAACTTAGCAGTGCTCTTTATGATCTGCATCACTAAAGATGCAAATTCAAGAGACGCTCGTTTTAGCGTTAAAGCCACGGCACACAAAAAACCTTAATCAAAACTCAGTAAGACGTAAGCAGTAAAGAAATCAACATGTTGAATTTTTTGTAATCATGTGTGACTTCGACTTTGACGCTAGCGTCAAAAAAAGAAGCTGGATTTTCTCAGCTTCAGCGTCAAAGACTGTTGTTGTTTTGTTCTGAACATTTTAGATATACGAATTATACGATTGACGTTAAACTTGATATTGCCGCTTTTCGGTGCAAGCCAACTATGATCACGTAATTTTGACGCCAAAAATGAGCGTCGAGCGTCAGTATGAAAAGGCACCTTTAATGCTTGGTATTCGTTAATTTAACAACAGTCTTTGACGCTGAAGCTGAGAAAATCCAGCTTCTTTTTTTGACACTAGCGTCAAAGTCGAAGTCATGTGATTACCAAAAATCTAACATGTTGATTTCTTTACTGCTTACGTCTTACTGCTTAAGTTTTTCTGTGTCATGGCTTTGATGCTAAAACGAGCGTCTCATGAAATTGCACCTTAATTGTAACTGCTGAACTTGTATTTCTCTCTTTTACACACACACACACACACGCGCGAGCGCGCGAGCGCGCGCGCACGCGTAGAAAAAACTAAAATTATATATTCATTTCAAGTTGTTGTCGATGCTCTGATTGGTTGTATTTCTGTTTTATAATTTACATATTATCTGCACGCGCAACTACTACTTTGTAGCGCGATCCTCGAATTTATTATTATTCTCAACTTACGTCATGGCAACTCTAGATTCACAGAACTCTCGAGTCGTCCGAGAGTTTGCCTCGAATCGTTCGCCACACGTCGGCATACAAATTTGGAAAATTCCATGCAATGTTCAACTGAAAATTACCGCGCTTCCTCACCCCACCATATGATAAAGCGTCACACATATTACGAGTCCGTAAACAGTCGCGATGAAAGATACGACAATCTGCGATGATGACCGTTTGCGTTCGATGACCGTCTTTAAATCGCAAGGCGAGGAAATACGAGGGAAATCGTTGGATATGATGCCACTGGTTGACCTTGCCGTCTGACGAAGCGCATTTTCAGACAAACTGGCTTAATTGACGTTCAATCGTATCCGGTTTCTGTTGCATGATATTAAGAAAGTCGAGGTACTTTGAGGTACTTATAATAATTATAACAGCGAATCAAATAGTAATATAACAGTAAATTCATTCTGTTTAATTTTTTTTCCTTTATCTTCGTCTATCTAATACGTGAGAGAATGTATGTTATGCATATTGTTTCAATTTAAATGCATAAAATGTAAGAAATGCATTTTAAATGAATATATAATATATCCAACCACTTGTATAAATATTTAATATATGATAAAAAATTGTAAATACGTCATATGTAGTTTAAGACCTTTTTTACACAAACATCATTATAAATAGCATATCTATTATATTTCTTATTGGTTGGTTGATCAAAGACGCCGCACGTTAAACTTCGTTGAATTTCTTCATATTCTATGACTTCGTCATAAACTGCTCAAATTATCTGTATTTCTTGGATTTTTAGATTCCTAGAAATTTAACATCCTAGAATTTGTAAAATATTATTTGTTATTTGCTATTTTTAAAACTTTAATTGTTGAAAATTATATAATTCGTTAAATTAGGATCTAATTTAAGAAATGTGAGTAAAGTTAACGCATAATATTTCAACGTATGGATTAAGATTAATCTTCAATTAAAATCACGCAGTTGTGTCGGCATCAATGAGCGCGATCGTACACAGACACACTCGCTCCGTTCCTTCACGGGGAATTCCCCGCCCCGTTCCCCCATGCGGAAAGGCCCGTACTCATCCGTGCCTTTCGACTCTGTCCGATACGTTGCGCATTTTCTCGCGAACACGTTTATTAGCGACGAACGCCGCAAATGCCACAGCCGCTGCCGCGCGCACGAGCGCGACCTTTTCCATTGTCCCGCGACGTAAATGCGCCCGCTCGCGCGATGTCATGTGGTACCAAAGTGACTCTTGCCACTCTGAGACGTCCGGATCTTTCCGAATTACTAAATCGATCTATCCGTCGTCAGCCTGCAGCTGCATGCAAAGTGCATTCAGCGGAATCGAGGAACAGTCGAGTAATATTAGTGTCGCTACGCGAATAGACTTAAAGCCTTAAGTGTTAAATGCTATATTCGGTGTCCTATCACAAACAATTTCTATTTGTTCTTTGACAAATATAAAATTGAAATATTTTTTACTTTTTTATAAATAGGTATATATAAATTCTGCCTCTTAGATCGAACGAAATAGTAATATCTTGTTTTATTTCAAATAAGTTTCATTTGAAATTAAAATTATAACTGAAAATTTAGTTATTAAGATTATTTAATATACAAGATCGTAAACTCAAATATGACAAAAACAAATTTCTTTAATTGTTGCTGAGGAAAAATTGACTTCAAATTTATTACGTCTAAGATATTTTACGTACTTTTTATACTTTTTATAAATCTTCTCACTTCAATGTGTACATAAATTTTTTCCGCATTCTTTCTTTTTTACCGAAATAGAATTAACTTGTTTTTATAAGCTTAATTTCTTCTCTGATGTATATGTATACGTATACATATATTGCCAAAAATTGGAGACCATTAATTGGAAACATCCACTATATGAAATAAAGTCAAACTTATACATTCCAATTTAACATTACATTATAATATATAACAATGTTATATCTTCATAATTTTACTCTTTAATCTTTAATCTTTATAATATATTTCGTCTTTATAATTGCATTATAAAATAAGATAAAAAAGAATATGAAATAAAAGTTTTCCAAAAATATTTTTTATAAAATTTTATACAAGAAAAGCACTAAAGATTAGATAAATAAATAAAGATTATATATATTTAAATATCTGCAAAATACAATTATTATATATCTGTAAATAATAATTATATACAATGTATCGCATGACTGTATCTGTCCGAATACATATGTTTACCTATTCAACTTGAATTTTCTTTATTTGTTAATTTGTTTCTTTACTTAAACTTTAATACATTTTAACGTTTTGAATCAAAATTTATTGAAATTATTTTAAATTCTTGTTAGGTCAGAAAGAAAATTAATTTGATAAATTATGTGAAAAAGATTTGAAATATCTTCTTATAAGCCTCAATTTGTTAATAAAAATTTATACTGTCATATATATTAAAAAAGTTAATTATAATAGTTTACCATTCAATTTTTCCATTATATTACAATTCCATTATATCTTCGAAGACCGATCTATCGTTCCATCAGCTCATAATTTATTCATATCGTAACTACGTAAAGTATACTTTCCTCACTTTATTAACCGAAGAAGAAGAATAAGTCTATTTAATGAGCTGCAAATAAGTTATGCATATTCTTTATAAGACGGTCAATAACCCAGCTTAGCCTAGTTAAGCGTGTATTGTAAGAAAGCGGAAGGGACGATTTTTTTCCACTGCTTCCGATACAATCAGTGTCCTTATGGTGAAATCAGATCAGGCACGGGTACGGCTAAAGGTCAATCTGCGACTTCGCGATGCGCGAGTATCAACCGTGGTATCAGCTTTGTTACCATCGCATCGTGTGGTTTGGTTGACGTCCCCGTTACGTCGCCATTAGGGCCCAGCGGTGTACGCGTGCGCGCAAGTTGCGTGAGCGAGCAGAGGAAAGGTAAGCAAGAAAAAGAGAGCGAGCGAGTGAGCGAGCGAGAAAGAGAGAGCAAGAGAGAGAGAGAGAGAGAGAGAGAGAAGATCGAATGAGAGAAGGAGATGGTACTTAGTTATTTTGCTCGCGTGCTTGTGGGATTGGGTGTGGAGTTGTATGCGCGTCGGCTGGTACGGACAGGTACCAAATGCCACAAGGTCAAAACTCGCATACAACGTAGAGGTTGGTGCGCGATTCCCTCCTCTTTCGGTCTGGAGGAACTCCAAGGACCACCGCGATAAGATAGGGAGGCAGGGGAGAGAGAAAGAGAGAGATGTGCTTCTCATGACGCCGCGTCACATTGCCGCGATGTGAAATTGCTTCATCGGCGACGCATTTCTCCGTGTTACAAAACTATAACTTCCGCAAATTCCCGTCGTAACACGGGGAGCCGGGAGAGCACAGAATTTCAGTTCCAATATTCCGACATTTTCACGATCAAAAGAAGAGTTGAGATATTTTCTCATCGATCAAAGTTATGCAAAATTAAATTTGCAAAATTTATTTCACTATATGGCTTCGTTGCGTATTCACGCTTTTGGCGCTTACAGCGTTCATGGAATCGTTTCATCTTTATTGTTTATCAAATGTTAAACAAATCATGTTCATGCAGTGCGTGAGCGTTAAAACGAGAGCATATATAGTCTATAGGTAATTATAATTTGATTGTACATTTTTTTCGAGATTGAATTTTAAAAAATTTGCATTTGAGACTTTTTTATATTAATTAGTGCATTAATCAGAAGGCACTCGCAATGTATAATATTTAAACTATCATATTTCATCATATATTTATCAATAATACTTAAAGTTAAATACCTAAAATTTGGCTTTACTTTGCAAACAATACATATGTATATATAATTGGAAGAAAATTAGAAATTGGAACATTTAAATTAATTAATTGTTGCAAGTGAAATGCGTATAAATATACTAAAGATAGCATGTTCAGTCAAGGATGATAGAACCAGGTATTTACTGGCATCATCGGAAAGTAATATCGACGCCGGGCAGGCGTGACGTCAGGAGATTTTAATGCCGGGTCATTATAGCCGGCGCGTTATTTTCACAGAACGTTTAATAGCTTTGTCGCTCGATTACATTGAAAATCACTTTATTCTTACATTAAATTTTGTATTATTATATTTTATTTGTTTATAGTAACGGAAACTATAATTACTGCAATATTGTTGATTTGAAGAAAAAAATGATAAAAAAATTAAAAACATCAATTTTTTATTGACACATATTTTTGTAAAATTGTAGAAAAACAAAAATTAATATTAATTAAATTCATTAAAATTTTAAAATAGTAGTAATAGAAATTCTAACAGATTTATATTAAATTAATATTTTCTTAAATTTTAAATGATCAATGAAAGCGAAATGAACAGCATATTTGCTTAGATTGGTGATGATTATTTTCAATATTATCTTTATTATAAAAAAATAATACATAAACTAATAATATATAATAATATATATAATTATAATAAAAGAAAACTATGAAAATTAAATTATAATTAGGCTTAAATACACTGCAAATCCAAGTATGTAAAAATTGAAGTGCTTCATCTATGTAAAAATAATATATTTAAATGTATTATGCAGTAGTGCAATTTTTATATAGTGTACTTATTTTTATACATTTTATATAGTTATTTTATTATGCAGTATATGATAATTTTATATGAATGAGATACTTTTTATACACTTGAATTTGCAGTGTAATTTTATTATTTTGATAAGTATCTAGAATATCTTTATTATTTTAACTTTACACATACAACATAATAATAATATACATGTATTAATTATACAATATAATGTAACACGTGATAATTAATCATTTTAAGAATGAATTTTGGACACATATAAAACAACAAATTAAATTTACAGATCCAATTTTACTTTTTATCCGAATTAACCATAAATTATTTTTTCAAAATTTATTATATATTATTATTTATATTCTATATTTCAAATAGAAGATAAATATATACATTGCAAAAAAATTTTTAATATAATAATTTTCTATCGGATATCAAATATACATATGGGAGAAAGATAATAATTAATAATATATTACGAACATTGAATTGAAAAATATGCAAACACAAGTCGTAAGAATATTAATTATATATGTATATATTTAATAACAATGAAAATATTTAAAATATATTAAATTAAGTTTCATAATAAATTAATGTAAATCAGTGACGTAATAATTGGTATAGTTTTAAAAGAATTAACAATAATCTATTTATTTAATAGTTAATAAAATTTACATATTCAAAAGAAAAACTACTATCATTAAAAATTACTAAATTCTTAAAATTGACCAAAATATATTCAAAATTGGACTTTAAAAAATGCTAGAAAAGTGCTAGAAATTACTGAAGTCGCAAAATCATGCAGTCGCCGAACCGCGAAAAATTTTATGAAATTACTCAAAGTTATTGATCAATAATGCTATTATGCACATAATATTATAAGTTTCAATTCATTATTAATGATAAAAGTTTATTAATTGTCTACTCTTTTGCTAGTATAAATTTCGAAATAAAAAATCACAAAACATTTTTATAAATATTTGTCCGAAATTCATCGAAAAAGAGAAAAAATATGTTGCGATTCTTTCATTACCGACCGTCAATAATCAATGTGTCAATATATACATATCGAATAAATTAATTGTTATCGCGTTCAGCAGAGACTACAGTTTGTGCACTAAACGAAGTTGAATCTGATTGGCTCGATGGAAAAAGTTGTCGGGGCTCCCTAAATTCCCTATCCGCAGCCAATCAGTAGCGTGCGAGGAACTAATGGCACAACCTGCGAAAAATCCGCCTGAGCGACCTCTGAGAGTTTTAGACGCGTCTGTCTATAATCTATATCTCGCAACGTTCAGGGCGGTCTGTTCTCGTCTCGCATGTCGCACGTTCCGCCGACAAGCACGAACTCTTCTCGAGGTGCATGACGTAACGAAGTCGTCTGGCGCAGTGTTTTAGTGGCCATTTTGTTCCCAACCGCACGGCTGATTAAGGTATTACGGCATACAAATAATTAGCGTTACTTAAGGCGGTCCAGCGAGACGTTCGACGAAACGGTCGTATCCGCACGCGCGGGGCAGATAGCCGTAGGAGGGTATCGCCATTCCGGTAGTAAATCTCGAGGAAAGTCGGAGAAACGGCTCGCGTTCCCCTCCTTCCCTCTTCTCGGCCCCGCGCCTTCCTCCCCTCTCTCTCTCTCTCCTTCCCGACGTCCTCGTCCGAAGTCCCGCGGGAACGTGATTCCCATCGTCTCCGAGTGGAATCCCATGTGAGTGTTCGTCCTCTCCATTTTCCTGTCTTCATCAATCTCCTGGAAAATGAGGAGTTTCCGAGACTGGCGACATGTAGGGTTTGATTAAAGTTTAAGCTCCTTTAGATTCAGGATTAGTTTTTTTACCCTTCTGTCTCTCTCTCTTTCTCTCTCTCTCTCTCTCTCGCTCTCTCTCGAATGTGTTTTGCATTTCTAAATGATTGTGACTACTACAAAAGAACAGACTACGTGTAAAACGAAGTTGCTTCATGATCAATGTTCCTCTCCTCGAGACACTGCCAAACAGTGTGCGATTACCATGCTGATGCTTTACTTGTTTAAGTTGCAGCTTGATGATCGCAGGCAATGCCCTCGACTCGATGCAAAATATCCTCTCACCGTTTATCCGTTTACCATTTGTCGTGTCTGTTTGGACTACCTGACTACGTTATGCTCTCTCGCTCTTAAGTCCGTCTGTCTCTCTCGCGAATGCACACTTAAAAAAAAAAACGCCCAAGTCATATAAAGGCGGGAGGATCCGGACCGAGCCGTGTACTCATGGAAGGCAGTTTCTATCCTTATAGGTGCGTCCGTGTGTACGTCCCGCCAGCGTGATGGACTCAAAGCGGTACGAACGCAGCGCCAGATTGAATAGCGAATCGCCACCCGCTCCGCCCTCGCCTCCCATGTATAGCACAGGTTACACCACGACACACGACAGCCACAAGAGCAGAGTCGGAGGCGCGCGGCGCTCGCCCTCGCCCGCCGTGGACCACCATCGAAGCAGTAGATTCTCGCGGAACGACTCGCCGCCCCAGGAGCGACGCAAGCGCCGTCGCAGCGGCTCCAGATCGTCCCCCCCGGTGCGCTCCCACAGACGGTCCAGGTCCAACGACAGGGATCGCGATCGCGACAGAGAGAGATCGCGCAAGTATTCCAGAAGGGACAGATCGCGATCGAGATCGCGCGGGAGGTCCCGCTCGAGGGACAAGCGACGGAGTCGCAGTCGGAATCGCAGCAGAGACAGAGACCGGCACAGGTATAGGGAGAGCCGCAGGCACCACGCCAGGGCGACCTCCTACGAGTCCGACGCTTTGGAGGAGCACGGAGACGGGGCGGGGACGGTGATGCGCCAGGCGGCCGCGGTTGCCCCGCAACCGAACGCCTTCAAGAACGATGGTAGTTTTATGGAGATGTTCAAGAAGATGCAGGAGCAGATGCAACCTACCGCACAAAAACCCACCACCTCTGTGCTCGAGGAGAAGCCCGTGGTGCCGCCACCGTTGATGGTGGGCAAGAGGAGGGGCGGCAGGATCCTGAAGACTGGTATGGTGGCGAAACCAAAGACAGAACAGACAGTGGAACAGCCGAAGGACGCGTGGTCCCTGTACATGGCAGAGGTGAAGAAGTATCGGGAGGTTTGCTGCCAGGAAGAGGATAACACGCGGCCGTTGGTCAAATAGCTTCGGCAATTTTCGTCGTCCCGTCTTTACATACTTTGGCCCATTACTTTTCTTTTAAGATACCTAGTAGTTGATCGTTAATCCTTAAAAAAAAAAAAGTACCAGATACTGGAACAAATGCTTTTTCAAAGGCACCTTTCGCTCATTTTGTCCCGCCGTAAAATTTTATGTTTAAGCTCAACAGTATAAGGATTTCTTTGTTAACGATCTGAACGAAAGAGAACAGAAAAAGAAAAGAAGTGCCGTGAGAAACGGACTCATTTGTGATATAGTGTCGTGTATGTGTGTGTGTGTGCGTGCACTTTGAGACGAATGGATGAGAGCGAGAGAGAAATGTAGAATTTACGTTTACGGGCAAATAAAAGGGGATAAAAGAGGGAGAGAGAGAAAGAGAGAGAAGGTAAAACACAACACGAATCTGTGCTGAAATTTAGAGATTAAATAATTTATAGCTTGTTAAGCAGTGATCCTTTATCGTCGCAATCATGACGAAGTTTTCGAACATCACTGACGAACCGTGGCATACCGCACCATACGATCCTAGGTTCCCTAATCAGAACCAATCCAGGTAAGACTCAAATGATCTTGTCGTCAATATATTAAGATAGCTTTTTTTACATCTAAAGAACCTCAGATTTTTTTATAAGAGTGCCATTGTTTGGAAATTGCTCATTAAATTCTTTATAAAACGAAAAACGGCTTATCTATCATACAAATATATTGATTTAATTGTCAAGTTCATAAAAATTAAATTTTTGTTGTAATTTAAATCGGTGTTTATAAAATTTATAATTATCTAAATTTTATTTTTATGGAAATACATACTGTGTATATATTATGTATATACAAATAAATAGTTTCTAAAGTAATCAAAGAAAAAAAAACAGCCTGGAAGCTTGACAAAGACGTATTTGCATTATTGCACTCGTATTTATTATTTAGGACGAATAGGGGGCTAGTGAATGGCCTCTAATTGAATCTGATAATCTGTAGATACTGTTACCAGAGCTACGTAGATTTTCACCGGTGCAAGAAGAAGCACAACGAAAATTATGAGGCTTGCCAGTACTTCAAAAGGGTCTATAAGTCAATGTGCCCGAACGCCTGGGTAGAGAAGTGGGACGGACAGGTCGAAGCGGGCACGTTTGCTGGTCGAATCTAGAATTTCCAGCGGTTGATACACACCGCATCCGCTTATCATCTTAGTGAACTTTTCAAAACAGTCGAACAGGGCTCTAGGATCGTGTCATTTCCTGTTTGTAAAATATAAGTCAATAATCTTAAATAAATCTAATGACACTTCATTCTCTTATATTTCCCATTATATTAAGATCTCCTGTTACATCTCGGCAGATAGATTTGTGTGTAAAAAGAACTTGTTATAGTAACACATCTCTCTTCTGATAACGATAGTAATCTAATTTACGAATTGTATAAGTTAAAATTTTGTCTACTTATGGTACAATATGTATACCATAGTTCGCGGCACGTTTTAACGAAGTATAATAATGCTGTAAATCTATAAAGTATTCATTATAAGTCTGTCAGTGTCTTTTTCATAAATTTACCCTTTTCGATTTAGACGACGCTCTCAACTCTTCAACTAATATTGATATTATATAATATTTTAATACAACATTCGTTACAAATAAAACTTTATTAAGCAAATATTGTATATATATAGTCGTAAACAATATCAAGATATCGACGTGGCGCATCAATGTCGTACTCGCGATAATCAATCGTCCATCATCAATAATCAAGTATAATCACATGATATTGAATCGCATTAAGATGAACCAAGTGCAAGAAGTTCAGCTAAAAAGAACAGACCTATTGATAACATTTACAATACGATAATAATCGATCGTAATCGGTCGATTGCGAAAGCAAATTTCGAGATTAAATATCGAACATAATTAAAAATTATAAGATACGCAAGACAATATTAAAAGTATGATAAAACGGTCGGGACGTCGCTACATAATTTTTGACAATTATGATTATCCATGTTTTGTTGACAAACTGCGCGCAAAGTCGAAAGACTATACTTAGCTCAAATCCATCGGAATGGACATAATTTATATTGATACAATTGTTGCTTAATATGTACTTAAATTTATATACAGTAAGTTTTGCAAACACAATAGTACTGAGATGTAAGACATTTGGTGGCGTTCATGTCATCTTTGCTCGTATATTTGTGGACAATTGTTGCACTCGTCAGTGTCGCTATATATTACAAGTATACTACAGAACATGATCATTTATGATTATTTACTTAAATAAGTACCTATCTATCCACCATTGCACAATACACACGCAACTGTCTTACTTACAAATATCTTGTGAGACGAGCATACGAAAATAAAAGTATCAAGAGAAAGGAAAGTACGGAGTATCGTCAATGATGCAGGCCGGCCACCTTTAGCTTCTTTGGCTGCCGGATTGCTTGGCCAGTCTCGCTGTCGGAGGACTCTGACTCTGTATCGTTGTATCCACTCATTCCACTTACTTCAGACTTGGTCACTTCACAGGTTTCACCGTAGCCAGTAAGCGAGGATTTTTCTAACGCACGAACTTGAAAACAGACTAATTTATATATATAGAAAGACCAAGTAATATCTTTGTTTAATTTGTAGATACCATACAATAAACTTGGCTGTTTTACAATATAGCAGTTTAAATTAACTGCAATAAAACTCTTAAAAGTACAATCAAGAAAAAAAAGATAGATGACAAGAGTTAAAAAAATGCAATTAATAGCATATAATAATGCAAACATAATTTAAAATTTAATCGATATAGTAAAAGATATCTTTATTATAAAATCACTTTATATTAATATTCCATGACCAAATCACTGAAAAATATCTTCATTTAAGACTCCATTAAACTGCAAAACTGCAAAAAAAAGATTCCTTATTTTCCAATAAATTTTAATAATTTCTATTATCTGTTATTTTCAATAATTTTGTAGTAAACACTTTGCAACATTTTATGTGATACATCTTGTATGTATAGTCTATATATGTAAGTTTAAAGAAGAGGTAATTACTTTGAGACTCCAGAAGATTATTCTGTCTCTTGAGATCATCGATGTCTTGCTGATGGGATGTATTTTTACGCCGCATGAATTGAATGTACTCTGCTGCTTTCTTTAAGATTTGCGCCCTGCTCGCGACTTTTTCCCCCTGCAGGGCCGGTACGCAGTCTCTAAGACTGGAAAAACTGTCTTTGATGTGGTCCCGTCGCTTTCGCTCCAAAGCATTGTGATGCGCTCTTTTTTCTGCCTATAATATCATAAGGTACACGTTTAAAAATCTACTCGTCGAGTAAAGTTTTTCCGATATACACTTCTAGTACCGAAAATCTATAATATACGATTATACGATATACATAACGTAAAAACTATACATTTTCAGTTTATTCAAAGTGTATATCGAAATAGAATCTTTACTCGACATGTAGATTCCTGAATGTATATAGTGTCTTATATACCCAATATATTTTATTTCTAAATCAACAGCGATAACTGTAAAAGATAAAGTTCAAACTTAAGACCGTTCTACGTACGTCGTACGACGGTATCGCATTAAGCCGTAAGAATTAACCAATTATAATTGAGTTCCTCACATTCGATCGTGATTCGTCAATTCTTATGGTTTACGACTAATGATATCAACATACGATCTGTTTTATAAGAATCGTATGTCGAGTTATAAGCCGTAAGCCGCAAAAATTGACTAATCACAGTCGAATGTAAGGGGAATATTCGATTATGATTGATCAATTCTTAGGACTTGTGAGTCTTATGACCTGACATACGACGTATTGTAGACTAGGCTTACGACTTATTATAGAGCGAACCTAATGATTTGAATCAAATTCTAATTGTCAATACACCGACGAGATACTATTAAAAATCGTCAATCTTGCGTAAATTTTCGTGAAAAGAGCCCGGATGGCTCGGAGGTAATTTAAAGAATGTCTATGTTATCGATTATTGATACAAATTTGCGACTGTTAACATAAATATTTGAATAATTATTAAAACCATGATTTTTTATTATAGAAATGTTTTATGAATAAGTATGAATATTTATAATGCTATATCATTGCCGCAAAATTATCATTTTTCCTACTGTTACTATATCTTTATGGATCAAACACGGATGGTATCTATAAAAATGCAGTCTTAAATAAAATTAATTATTGCAAGTTGTAAATATATGTGCATGTCTAAAAAAACATTGATCTTACAACAAATCATAAAATTTATATTATATTGTTGGTTAATAATAGATTAAATTTTAACAGCCACGCCAACTCCCGTAAGATTGTCGGTCTTTAATACATATTTCGTCGATGTCGAACCAAAGACAAAAGATACATTTTTTCAAAAATAATCAAAATATTAATTCCAAATATTAATCTCATGGTTAAATTTTTAAAAGTATACTACTATATTGTTCGTATACTTTGAACTATATACAAAATAATTTTTGGGTATTTATATTATATTAAAAAAGCTTTAGATTTATATATGTATTTAAGATACATAATTTTTGCGAGACTCAGCATAGACAATGCATCTGCAATCACAAGAATTAAACAAAAATTTCTTAATTATCCAATTATTGTTAAATTCTATTATGTCATTCGTATTCTTTTTTTCAATCTTATCGTCTACATAAGCTACGAGCTATGGATTTTCAACTTGAAACGAGCATCATCAAGAACGCAATAAAATAACAAACAAAAATAGTACTTTGGGTTTATTTGTTTTGAAATAATTTTTTGCAATCTTTTATACTGATATACTTCAATATATCAATATGAAATCCGTTATTTTTATTTGAAGCAACCAAAAAAAGAAACTAAATTATTACAAAAGATGCAAGATTGTAATTGTGTTAAATAGCATCAAAATCTTTGAAGTATTTTCTCGTATAAGATTTATATAATGGTTTTTTATCTTTATGTATCTTTTCTTAGGAAACATCGAATTAGTTCGATTTTAAAAAATTTCAATTTTATCAAAAATGATACAACCAAAGTTGCAAATAAAAATTAATTTCTCAAGCCATAGTTGAAGTTCAAAAAGTTATAACGTTTAGCAAAAAAGCATTGATAAAAATGTAGCTAATCACATAAGAGAAAAAATAAAAAAGATGATTCAAATATGTTAGCCTAGTGATGAGAAAAAGCGACATATAGGCAGTTAATGCTTAATGATTCTGCTTGTATAAGGCTAATAGCATAGACGTAAATAGTATGGGCTTTCTACAATAATCCGTTAATAATAGATCTTAGGTCAGAAACGAGTAAGCGAGTCAGTAATGTGTTATAAAGCAATAAATCAGTAATCAGACTGTGTAGAGATGTTAAATTCCACTTCTTACGATTTAAAACTTTTAGATTGTCTGATTTCTGATCTATTATTAACGGCTTATTGTAGAAAGCCCATAAAAAATTAATCCATCTTCACAAAGTCACTGATTACTGATGTATTATTATTTTATGATTCATTACTGACTCGCTTACTCACAATTTACTCCTGACCTTAAAATCTAATGATTTATTGTCGAAAGTCCATAAGATGTAAACAGTAAACGAATAGCCAATCACAGTAGAGAACATAAGGCAATAGATAATAGCAGATAGAATATACAGATTTGTTTATTGCTTATGTTTTTCTATGTATCATTAGTTTTGAGATTTAAGCAGTAAACCAAACTGATCAACGTGTCTCTCTCTTTCTCTCTCAGAGCCGAGTTTTAAAACGGTAATCGAAAGATATCTTTTCATACTGACGCTTATTTTTTTTTAAACACAAGTAGATTACGTGATCAAAATTGTTTGCGGTTGATTCCGTTTTAACACTCATGCGCTGTGAGCGTGATTTGTCCTCATTTAACGTTTTTGATAAATAACAAGGATTTTGTAAGCACTATAAGCACCAAAAGCGTGAATATGAAACGTAGCCTTGATATTTGTCAATTTGATCACGTGATTTCAATATTAAAAGTGAATTCAGGAAGTACGCTGTCAGCGCAATCATGTTATTCTATCCTTATGTTCAATGAACAATAGAGTGACACAATAGTGCTAATAACGCCCTTCCCCGAACGCAGCCCAAAAATGACGTCGAGCGCCAGGACGAAATGGTACTTTTTAAAGCAGTATCTACAATGAGACTTGAGATTTAAGAAAATTGACCAATCATAATCGGTTATTCTTCTCAAAGAAGACTAATCGACTATGATTAGTCAATTTTTTTAAATCTTTAAGTCTTATTGTAGACGCCGCTTTATACATATACGATGATTCCCAATTGATTGGTTGTTTAATATTTAAATTTTACTACTTCCGTTTTTCTGCATGCCATGACTTTCATAACGTCATTTTATACATCATAATCTTTTTCTTGCTATATTCATTTCACATCTTCTTTCTTCTTTGTAAATATATAAAGAATTTTTGTGATCTATTATTGCACGCTACATTTTAAGTGGAATGAAAATCAATCTATTGCAAAATTTGTAAGAAAATATATCACAAAGTTTCACAACAGTTGTTCCTATTGAAAGCTGAAAAGGCAATATCTACTGATTATGGTTATATTGATCGCATGTAAATATCAACAAGCAATACCATCTGACAAAACATCTAGCAGCATTAAAGAAATGAGAGGTTAGACGTGTTATACCCTAACACTGCGACAGCTATAAAAAGCGAAAAGAAAATCGCACGAAGAAAATCTTTCTCGGATGTGTAAACGCCAAGATTTGATTGTCGGCCAAGGAGAAAACCCCCACAGGATTCCAATCACGGAAGCTCACCTGAGAGTAGTATTGCGAATTGTTGGGGTGTCTCAGTCTGGAATCCGAATCGTCGCCATCCTAAAATGATATACAAGTTCCGTCAGGAATTCTAACGAAAGGAGCAAACTCACTCGTACGAGCTACTCACGTCGCTTTCGATATCAATGTCACGATCATCATCGCTCATCCTTAATGTATCGGAAATTTGTAGAGACAATGAAGAAACAACGGCGTTGTTTCGTTAACAACGAATCCCGTAGTATTCAGTGACCGTTCGTATCCTCAACTATAGGACTGTAGAGTGTAAAACATAAGAGTGAATTTGTAGCGGGGAGCCCGAGGGACGCGTTGTCTCGCGCATGCCTGTGCACGTGACTTCAATAGAGTATCAAATTCACTAGAACGAGGCTGCGTTCCGTTTGGCGCTTACAGCTGCTTACGGCGCTCACAAAATCATTTCATCCTTGTTGTTTATCAAATATTGAACAAAGACAAATGATGCTTATAAGCGCAGTAAGCGCCAAAAGGACA